CACCGCCGGGTAGCTCACCCTTATTGGCTCGCAGGTGATCGGATTGAGACGGAGCTCGGAAGAAAGGAATATGGGCACGCCAGAATATTTGCTCCCCGTACAGAAGGAATTGACTTTAAAGAAACTTTCTCTCCAGTTTCTTTGAAAGATTCTTTTAGGACAATTATGGCGCTTGTTGCATATTTTGATCTTGAGTTGCATCAGATGGATGTCAAAACAGCTTTTCTTAATGGTGACATTAAAGAAACAATTTATATGGTGCAGCCAGAAAACTTTGTATCAGGTGACCCAAAGAATATGGTTTGCAAATTGACTAAATCCATCTATGGACTCAAACAAGCTTCTCGTCAGTGGTACTTCAAATTTCATCAAGTTCTCACTTCGTATGGTTTTGAAACTAAGGTTGTTGATGAATGTGTGTATCACAAGTTCAGTGGGAGTAAACACATATTTTTGGTTTTATATGTTGATGATATATTGCTTGCCACAAACGATATAAACTTATTGCATGACACCAAGAGATTTCTATCTAAGAATTTTGAAATGAAAGATCTTGGTGATGCTTCCTTTGTATTAGGAATCGAAATACTCCGAGATCGTTCTCGGGGTATTCTGGGATTATCCCAAAGGAGTTATATCGAAAAAGTACTCAATAGATTTGGCATGCAAAATTGTAAATCAGGTGAAACCCCGGTTGCTAAGGGAGACAAGTTTAGTCTCAGCCAATGCCCGAAGAACAGTCTTGAAATTCAAGAAATGCAGAAGATTCCTTATGCCTCGGCTGTAGGGAGTCTAATGTATGCTCAAGTATGTACGCGTCCGGATATTGCGTTTATAGTTGACATGTTAGGCAGATATTTAAGTAATCCTAGCATGGATCATTGGAAAGCAGTCAAGCGTGTTATGCGATATTTACAGAGAACAAAGGAATATATGCTCACATATAGGAGATCGGATAAGTTAGAGGTCATTAGATATTCCGACTCCGATTTTGCTGGATGCCAAGACAGTAGGAAATCCACATGAGGCTATATTTATCTGTTAGCTGGCAGAGCAATTTCTTGGAGGTCTGCAAAGCAGACGCTCATAGCTTCATCCACCATGGCCGCAGAGTTTGTAGCATGTTATGAGGCATCAAACCAAAGGATATGGCTGTAGAATTTTGTCACTGGGTTGCGTATTTTGGAAGGCATTGAAAGACCACTTAAGTTATACTGTGACAATAAGTCTGCAGTTTTATATTCCAATAACAACAGGAGCTTGACAAAATCAAAGCATATTGATATCAAGTTCCTAGTTGTAAAAGAAAGAGTGCAGAGTGGACAGATTTCCATAGAGCACATTGGGACAAACTCCATGATAGCGGATCCACTTACGAAGGGACTACCACCCAAGGTCTTTCATGAGCACACTGCTCATATGGGTGTTGTTCTATTTGAGAACATTTTGGTTTAGTGGGAGTTTGTATTTATATTACTGCTTTATGTCAGCCTTGAGTTTTATCTATGTAATTAGATTAATTAGATTAATTTACGCAGAAATGAAGTATTTAGTTTATTACACTCTGTTACGTATTGTGAAGTATTGATCTCAATAAAGTTTAGTAGGACCAATTGGAAATAGGCATATATGGATCACATTACATGTAATTTCCATGCTACCTCACAGAACCAAGTAAGCTAATGTCAAAACAGAGTGATATTAAGAATGCATAATGAAATGTAAAACGTCAAATAATTCAGCATACCCGTTCTCATTCTGCAGACATGGTCATGGCCAAAACTGAAAGTACATCTGCTAGTAAATACTGTGTTAAAAGGAAAATGTGTACTCATGTTATCAATGGATTTTTTTTATACTAGGAAAAAAGTTTTAGAATTAAATTTATCGATTTATCTTTTAAATTAGTCCTATTTGATCAACTTAATTGCCAAAAGAGGATAGAATTGTTAGATAATGTCTCAATGGGACCACATAATTAAATGTGGTGTTATCATTTATAAGAAGCCTACAATTTAAGTGATTCAATTTAGTTAATAGGCTTAAGGGTATATGTGTCATGGACCTAATGTGTAGATACTAGTTGTATAATTTCTATTTCTATGAGGGGCAGAAATAGAAATTAAAACAAATTGGCTAAGTTGGTTTTCATAGAAACTGCCACACGGTTTTGTTTTTTGAAAAAATCGATTTTACCTTTAAATTATTATGGTCCCTAATCCTGCCAAATAAGACAAGAACTACCATTCTTCTTCTATATCCTCTCAAGGAGAAATGATAAGGCACTGGTAAAAGAAAGGATTAGAAGGCAATAACAAAATCAATAACAAACGGTTTATTGATAATCACGCTTCCGTTTAACCGTTCATCGATTGATTCGGGTACGTTTTTGTCTTGATTTCTTGATGATACATATGGTAGATGATCCAAAGCAAAACAATTTTGTGTTCTGAAATTATGTATACAGGTTGTTCTAACAAACAAAAATGAAAATTACTTCTTCTACTCTTTCTTTTTTTTTAAAAAATAATAAATAAATACAAATGACATTGTGGACCCCATCGAGAAATAGATATACAACAATGCTAGGTAGCTCAAATTTTTGTGACTCAAATGACTCAAATCACTCAAAACGACGTCGTTTTGACAGATTTTGAGTGCAAAACGACGTCGTTTTGACAGATTTGAGCCATTTGAGCCACAAAATTTTGAGTTACCAAACATTTTCCATAGATATAATAAGGCCTCATTTGAAAATAGATTATTTTAATAATTTTTTATTTTTTATTTTTTATTTTAGTAATTTTGTATGTTTAGAATGATTTTTTAATTTTTTATAAAAAAAATGTGTAAAAAGTAATTTTTTTTTTTTTTGACTTTTTGTATAAATTATGAACTTTCTAATTTTTTTTTTATAATTTTTTGACTTTTAAATTAAAACTATTACTTTCCAGAGGGCACTACGACTTTGTAAAAATTTAGCAATTTGTCAAATTTCACATAAGACATAATATTCAATTGTCAAGATTAAGGGGTGGTTTAGGATGTTCTAAATAAGTGTACTTTTTGACTTTTTGTGAAATATGAGTTGGGTATGGGTTGGGCTTGAAGTGATGTGACTTAAATAAGATGATGTGACTTAAATATGATAGTAACTTTTTGATTTTTTGGATTTTTTAGGCCTCATTTGGGAACATGCTAATTTTGTAACTTTTTGGCTATTTGACTAAAATATGAGATAAAAAAAACTAGTATGTTTGCGATGACTTTTTAACATTTTACGAAAAGATGTGCAAAAAATAGAGAGAAAATAGAATTTTTGACTTTTTGATATGAGTTGTTAGCTTTTTGACTTTTTTAATAATTTTTTGACTTTTTAGCTAAACTGATCCTTCCCAAACGAGGCCTTAATTTATGCCAAACAAGGCCTCAGTTATTAAATAGGGAAAATTTAATAATTATTGTTTAAAGTTTATTGTAGGCTTCACTAAAATATCTACTAGCTTATATGCGCCCGTATTGAAGCACAAAAATCATACACTGACATTCATAAATGTGTTTATTTGTACAGTGATAATAAAGACAAAAAATATAGGTTAAATTATAAACACATCTCTTAAGTTTTACTGAAATTATAAATTATTTCCTGTTATTTTAAAAATTATATTATGTCCCTAAACTTTCTAATTTCATAACAAATAGGTCCTTTTATTAATAAATTATCAAGTTAATTAATAGTTTTTAATAATGTTAAATTTTTATTTCAATTAATAATTTAGATAATTTTATTATTGTATAGGTGAATAGTTAGAAATTTCACTTTTTCAATTAATTCTGTTAAATAAAAAATTTTGACCAGGAGGTATTTTTAATTTTTCAAACCACAAAAGGCAATTCGTATTTAAACAAATCTCAGAAAATGTATTTGTAATTTATCCAAAAATATATGCACTTGTAGAAATTGTCAAAAAAAAAAAATTATTTTAAAAAGTGATATGTCAACCAGACTATATGATTGTATTAAGCAAAGGTTAGTTTTGGTCTTCAAACATTTGTTTACTTCTCCTTACATTACATATCTCCTATTTCTCTATTTAAAACAAAAATAAAAATTACTAAAAAAGTACACAAACTTGAAATCTTAACTTTGAATTTGTTCTTTCTATGGCCTCGTTTGGGAAGTGACTATTTTAGTAAGCTATTTGATTTTTTAACTATTTTAGTAGGCTATTTTAATTTTGTATTTGCGAAGATGAGATGAATTTTTAGTTGAGTTCTTGTATTGGAAAGTGTGTTGAATGATGTTTAAATTTAAAATGACAAATTTGTCCCTAACTTTTATTTTTTAAATTGATATAAAGGGGCAAAATGGTAATTTTGCCGTTGATGTACCAATTTCAGGCTGTGACAGTGTAGGCACCTACACTGTCCAGCGCAGAGCCTATTTTTTTTTTTTTGAAAAACTATGAACAGTGCCACTTTTTTGCTTATTTCTCATTTTAGGCTATATTAGCCTCACCCACCTCTTTCCAAACGGCGCCATTTGAGCAACATATATATTGTGATATTACTTTCTTTATCATTTATTTTTATTTAAAATGAACCTCAACCTCTCAATACTTTTTCTTCCATATTTTTCTATATCTTTAGCTTCAAGTAGATAGAAAAAGAAAAATTTTAAAGGAAAATGAGTGAGAGCACTAATTAGTGTCATCACTAATGATGTGACAGTAAGTCCCATCTACTGTCACAGTGTGTGTTGTGTCTGTTTTTTTTTTTTTTCTTTTTTTCTTTTCCACCTTATTAGTGGTGGGTTAGAGCTACCAAATTAAAAGTCTCTAGCATGATTGAATTTTAAAATATAGAAACTGATTACAGAACCAAACAGAACCCTTACTTATAAGATGAGTCCTATACTCATATGAAATGGTATAAGTCAGAAAAACTGAAATGAGATTCTGTGCAAATAAAAAAATTGAGAGAGGGAAAGAAAGACTTACGAAGGAGTATAGACAAGATATTTGAGGGGAGGGAAGAGGGAGAAGAGTCTCTTGGGGATGAGCTCGAAGTTGCAGTGACCTAAGTTGTTCATGAAATCAATGAAAAAAACATAGCCAGCTAAGGATGCAATTGAGGCAGTCCCAGTAAACACAGCAGTCAGCATTGGTATTGCAAACAGCATAAAGTATGCAATGTGCTCCCCAAATGGATGAATCACAGCTGCCACCACATCCACATACATATCCCATTAATAATTAATGCTATCAAAATCTTGTAATTTTAGGTCAAGTTTGGCTATCTTAAATAAGTATACACTTTTTATCTTTTTATTTTTTTTTTCATCACATCATCTTTCTACTTTTCTGCACATTTTTTTGTAAAAAGATAAAAAGTATACTTATTTTAGTCATCTCAAACAACCCCTTAATTTCTAAAAAATTGGGAATTCTGCGTAATTTTATTTTGTTATTACTAAAATATTACATCACGTGGTATTATTAACTAATCGTAAAACATCATATAGGCAGAGTAATTTCCACTACATAAATATAATTATTTATCTATTTAACTCACAAACTCACAGATGTGCATAGTGGGTTATTTTGTCCTTACATGGAAGCAAAGATGAACACAAAAATATATTTTAGAATAGGTCAAAATAAGTATAGTGAAAAAAATATATCTTTTAGCAAAAGGGAAAATTTACTAATCAATAACTTAATAATGAAATCAATACGAATATATACTATTACATTAAATAATTTGGGATTATTTTTTATACATTATAAGAATACTTATGCAATGTAGGAAACTAATAGAAGAATTTTTCAAAACCTTAATGCTGTGTTTGGTTGGGGGATTTGAGGAGGGATTTAGAAAGGGAAACGGAAAAGGTAGGTGAAATGTGAATAAAACATACCTATATTTTACTTAGTTTCACACACCTTTTCCCTTTCCCTTTCCAAATCCCTTCCCAAATCTCCCAACCAAACATAGCATAAGAGTTATTCTATATATAATGTACAATTATTCATAACATAGAAAGTTAATGGGGGTATGGCCACCCCTTAATTTCACCTCTACATGAAAAGTTATAATTGGATGGTAATACCACGTCTTATCAATCACCTCCCATGAATTTATAAGAATCATCATAAAAAAAAAAAAAAAAAAAAATTAAAAAACATACTCAATCCAATTCACAATGGACTGGCTCATAGGCCTACCATGGGTTCCACTTTTGAAAAGTAAATCACTAAATTTTTTTTAACCTCTCATTTGAAGATCATGTGATGAAATCATTTAGTAGAATTATTAGATCAATTTGATTCATTTCTTTTTTTTATATTTATTATATGGATGATATGTGCATTTGTGTTTAAAATATCTATAATTGAATTATCAAAGTGAGTCCTGTGATAGACCTCGGACTCAAATTGGGGACGTAAAATTCCAACTAAATATTCAGTGACATATAGCAACCTAAATAACAAACGAGAGTATAGATGCTTAAAGAGAGAAAAAATATTAAATGTGATCTTACATGAAATGGGCTCAGTGACAATGGAGGAATGATGGTGGGAATGATAGCGAGAGTAAAGATAATGATGGTGAAGAGCTCTGTGGAGCCAGTAGTAGAGGAACTCCACTGGTCCCATATGCAGCAAAATTGTTATGATTACACCATCTGTTCTCCAAATAGGTAGGTGAGAAGCACCCTTAAGTGCCATGTTCCCTACGTAGAATAGTGTCCCATTGAACAAGATTTGGTCATCCCTGCCAAACCAACCAACCAACCAACCATTTTGTGAGCCCTATTAAAAAAAAAAATTAAAAAAAAAAATATTTGAGTTGCAGGTACATATAAGGGAATGGCTTCCACTCACTTGAAAAAATAAATTCTAAGGTGTTGTTGGGTCTTCATGGACCCACCTCAATAATTTACATTATTCATTTCAAAATGCTCATCAAAAAGATTATTCTTGCAAATAATTAGATTGTTTGGACAACCATAATCACATATTTAGATCACATTTATCATAAATATTAAAAAAAAAAAATAGATGACAATTATAATTTTGATTAAGGACTATTTATTATTTTGAAGACAAAGTCAATCTAATAATGCTTCTACAATATTTCGATTAATCTAATTCTTTACAATGATGATCTTCTCAACGAGCCCTTTAATATGAACAATTTGGATTATCATGCCATAAATATAATATATCTATATATAATCAAGTCATCCAAATTATAGAAATATTTTTTTTATGTGAATTATATCAAAAAACGTTAGGAATCATGTAAAATTGTAAAGAATTTTATCCTGAAAAGTAATTTGTAGTTTCGATTCAATTATTGTATATTGGAAACTATATTTGAAACAAATCACAACTATAGATAATTTTTTTGGGTTCATACACTACAAGAAAAGAGGGCAAAAAACACGAAAACATTTGCGACGGCGCATTCCCTGTCGCAAAAAATGGTCTTTTGCGACGGCAAAATTAACCGTCGCAAAAAATAGTTTTAGCAACGGCGTTTAACCGTCGGTAATAAAACTACACGGGCAAGTATTAAAATGCGGAAGTATTAGCGACGGCGTGTTGAACCGTCGCCAAAAAAAAATGTTTGAGACGGCATAAGTTTGCTGTCGCAAATACTCGACAATTTGCGACGGCAAATGTCCGTCGCGAAAAAAGGATTACCAAAACGGCGTCGGTTTATTAATAATTTTGTATCATTTGCGACGGTGTAAACCGTCCCGTCGCAAAAAGTAAAAAAAAAATTTCCCCCCCCTCTTCCCTTTCATTTTGCCGCTCAGTTGGATCAAAATCCCTAAAATTGTTTGAAACAAAATTTCTTTCCCCCAAAATCCCCAAACGAGCTACGGGCGACGAACGGCGAAGGGCTAGCGGTGGTGCGGTGGTGCGGCGACAACGAGCGACGAACGGCGAAGGGCTAGCGGTGGTGCGGCGACAACGAGCGACGAACGGCGAAGGGCTAGCGGTGGTGCGGTGGTGCTTCGACAACGACAGCTACTCAGGTATGCTCTCTCTCTCTCTCTCTCTCTCTCTCTCTCTCTGTGTATATATATATATGTATGTATTACCTGTTCAAAAAAAAATAAAAAAAATATACATGAATATAAATTTTTTTTTTTCTATTTGTAAATTTATTTATTTACTATTATTATTTTTTTAATAAAAAAATGACTTTGAAATATCTAGTTGAGGCCCTTTATAATTACTCATAATCTAATTTTATTTTTTTAATACTGTAAATTTTATTTAAAATTTATAACAATATCTCAAACTTTCACAATTAAAATTATTTTGATAAAGAGGCATTCAATATGTATTAAGGCATGGTTTGGGAACACTCAAATAAGTTATTTAATGATTTATTTTTATCATATTACCCCTCATTTCCATTGAACACACCCCTCTGAGACTATAGTTTACTCCTTCCAGACCCCATTAACTAGACTAATTTTGGTGTAAATCTTGCTTATATTTTTAGTGATGTGAGAAAATTAAATAAATCTTGCTGTATATTTGTGCTTGATTTATTTATTATTTTTGTGTGTTTTCAATTATGTTTGGTCTCAACTCTCGCACTGTGGTTTCTTTGGGTGGTGTCTCATATTGAATGGCTTGGTGAAGAACCGAGACTGAGACCAAACAATAGTGAAAAATCAAAACTGAGACCAAACATATCTGTATTCATTTACCTTTATTAAACCTTCTTTTTAATATCATTTAATAAATATCTGTGTCTGTTTGTTTTTTTATAGCAAAATAGACACGTTAACCTGACCATGAAATCTTGATTGGAGAGGGATGAGTCGTTCTGAGAATTTATATAGTCCTATATATGTATTTGATTATATTTTGGTTTTCAAACTTGATATCTGCAAACCCCAGGAGGGCTTAAGCCTCTGCCCTCTGGTTTTCTTTTATAACTCTGCACCTGTTTGTTTTTTACTTCATTTGAATTTAAAAAAAAAAGATTGTATTTTGGTTTTCATTTTTGTTTTTCTTCTAAAAAATTTGAAAATTTTGTTCGTCTTAGTTGTTGAAAGTGGTAACTGGTGACGGTGGTTAGAGGGGTTGCCAATGGGTGACGGAGTATAGATGAGTTTTGAGTTTGCTAAAAGGATCTCTTGATTTTGGGTAATAATAAAAAAAAAGAGTAGAATTTAATTTTGAATAGGTTTGAGTTAAAGAGCATAGATGAGTTTTGAGTATTTTTTAGACAAACTTAAATAGATGAGTTTTGAGTATTTTTTTGAATAGGTTTGAGTTAAAGGTATTATATTTAGAGTTACTTTGATGAGATACTTTTGTGAATGTGTACAGATGATGGATAAGAGTTGGATTGATTTGCCAAATAGGATGTCGAGCGAATACATTAATGGGATTGATGAATTCCTTGTGTTTGCCTACATCAATAGGGTTGAAGGATCGATGATCAGTTGTCCGTGTAGGAAGTGCGAGAATCGATACTATTTTGTACGAGAGGGTGTACGTGAGCATCTGATTTTGAATGGTTTTTAAAAAAAATACAAACATTGGATTAATCATGGGGAATCTTACGTATCTCTGCATGGTAATCGAGAGAATGAAACATTAGCTAATTTAGACATTGGGGATGATATGATTGAAATGATACAAGGGGCTATGAGAAATCCACATGCCGGTACAAGTGTTGAGGGTAATGAACCACAGGGGCCAGATCCCTATGCATCTGAACCCCAGCTCGGTCCAAATGCAGAGACTGCAAAGTATTTCAAACTTCTTCAAGATGCACAAAGTGAATTGTATCCGGGTTGTCAGAAGTTCACATCTTTGTCATTCATTGTTCGACTTTTACATTTGAAGGTGCTTAATCAGTAGACAGACAAGTCTGTTGACAAGTTGCTTGAGTTATTGAATGAGGCGTTCCCGTTGGGTGTGAAACTCCCGGACTCATATTATAAAGCTCAAAAGGTCACAACAGATTTGGGCTTCAAGTATGAGACGTGGGATGCATGTCCCAACAGTTGCATGTTGTTTCGAAACGAGGACGCCAATCTTGATAAATGTGTCATATGCAACAGTTCTAAATGGAAATCAAATGGTGATGGTGGTTCAAATGGTCCTAACAAAGGTGGCAAACGAATAGCTGCAAAACAGATGAGGTATTTTCCTTTAAAACCAAGGTTGCAGAGGTTGTTTATGTCATCCAAGACAGCCAAGTTAATGAGATGACATGGAATAAGCATGCAGAGGAACGAAACTGATTGAATGGTGATCCTTCAAAGGCATTGCCTGCTGACTCCCTTTGCATGGAAAGATTTTGACCGTCGGAATCTTGACTTTAGTTAATGATTGCCGAAGTGTAAGGCTTGGCTTAGGCATCCGATGTTTTAAACACGCATTAGAACGATGAACATAGTTCATAGCACTTGGCCTGTTGTGGCTCGTTCCATACAACTTGCTCGCCATGGATGTGCATGAAGCAAACCATTTCTAATTTTAGCCGTGCTTATTGACGGCCCAAAAGGACCTGGTGACAAGATTTGATGTGTATATGCAACGTTGATTGAGGGTTTGAAAGAACTATGGGAATGAGGTGTGTCAACATTTGATGCATCAACAAATCAAATGTTTCAAATGCATGCAACTTACTGTGGACAATTAGTGATTTTCCTGCATACGGGCAAACTTGTTAGGATGGAGCACTAAAGTGCGAATATGCATGTCCTGTTGCAATTAAGGAAACTCATCCGTTTTTAGAGCAAGTAGGACAAATTTCATACTTGGGTCCATCGCAGATTTTTACCTACTCGGCCATAATTTACGGAAGGATAAAGTATCATTTGATGGTAGTACGGGAAGTCAGGACTCAAACGCAAAATTGTTGTCTGGAACTGAGATGTTGTTACAATTAGAATCTGAGGGTATTTAAACGCCATACAAGAGGGATGACCGTTATGGGAGGCATAGGAGACAGGTAGAGAAGGGAAAGCTGGACGCATCGCACCCACAGTGGAAAGAAAAAAGAGTATATCTTTTATGAATTGGCCATAAATGGGGAGCACAATCTGAGAGAGGCGATGTGATGGCATATAGATTATGTAAGAATGTTTGTGACAATGTGTTGTGGACATATTAGGGGTTGCAGAAAATCGAAGGATGGTGTTAATGCTCGGGATTACAAAGACAAAGTAAATTAAGAAATTGATGATTAACTACAACCTTGGCCTTAATTGAATTACTAATGTTGATTAAATATCAGCCTATTTGAAACATCAACTGTTTCCCCTTCTGCGGCTTCCCTCACCCAACCAACTTCTTCATCACGAAGCATTATATTTTCTTCCAATTGTTGGCTCATGTATGGCTCAATTTGTGGATTAGTCGAACTCATATCAAATAAACCTCTTTGAGACATCTTCACCACACTTGCCAGTCTGGTTGTAACGGGTCTGCAACATACCAAACTTGCTCTGCTTGGACGCCAAGATGAAAGAGTTCATTGGTAATTCGATCATCTCGGTACAACAAAATGATTGAAGTTCACCAACGTGAAATTGAAGACATCTTCTTTCTTTCTGTGAATGTTGTCAATCTAATCACACTTAAAACAACACATGTTTCTTCTCATTGGAATATCGAATCTCAACAATATCTGTCAATTGTCCATAATAGTACACAGACCCCAGACCGAGGATTCTTGTCTTTTCGACTAGCATAACTTATGGTATCTGCCTTCAAAGCTACACCATAATTTTGTGTGGCTCGACGATCATCCATGCCTTTACTCGATACGAACCCATTCAGTATTATACCCGTTGAACCTCCTTGCCAGGTTTAGGACCATTTGCCAATAGAATAAATCTCTTCAGAAAATATGACATCAGTAGTCCTTCGCAAAGTTTGGACCTATTTAACACGAAAATGTAAAATTTAAAATGTAGATCGACTTAAGTAACTAGAATCTATAGAGTTAATAATATACATGTTCCTTGAACCCAAATGTGAAAAGTTTCAAAATGTTCACGCCGAAGTTGATAATCGTCGACACGAGGCATTTTGAGCTTAAGTACTTCAAGGTGTTTGCTGTGTAGATTGAAATTTTAGCAATACAAAAAATTTAGTTGAAAATTCAATAAAACATAATAAAATATTGAATGAGTGACTTAACCTACTTTATGAATGGTTGAACCGCGCTTGTATTGAATAAGATGTACCGATAAGCTTGTACCCAAGCAGTATTATCAAGATAAATGCTTGTGTTTTCACCAATAGCATGACCCAAATTATCAGCACCACTATAGTTCCTCACGGGTCGACTAGATTTGGTTTCCACATCATTGAGATATTGTGCACAAAAATTCATGCATTCTTCCATAAGATATCCTTTAGTAATTGATCCTTCAGGATGAGCTCTATTACGCACGTATTGCTTTAAAGTAAGAAGATACCTCTCAATTGGATACATCCATCAAAACTGAATCCTCCACCCAATAAGGCTTCATCAGCTAGATGTATAGGCAAGTGCTCCATTATATCAAAAAAACTCGGAGGAAATATTTTCTGTAGATGACAAAGTGTTATAGCCGATACGATCTTGAATATATTGCAAATCCGTCGCACGATCACTTTTGAACACAATTGTCTAAAGAAATTGCTCAATTCAATCAAGGGTTCAATTACATTCTTCGGTAACGATCTTCGAATAGCCAATGGAATAAGTTGTTACAATCAGAATATGACTATCGTGGCTCTTAAGACCCCCAATACTTTTATCATGTGAGCGCACACGACGTGATATATTGGATGAATACCCGTCGGGAACTCTTACTTCCTTCAACACTTTCAAGAACAAATCTTTCTCATCCTTGGTCATCGTGAATTGTGCTGGTGGTAAATAGGCTTTATTCGACCCTCTTAACTGCAAATTAGGGTTTCTAATATTCATATCTGAAATCACG